AAGGGTTTACGGCTTAGGGGTTTAGGGTTTAGGGCTTTGGGGTTTAGGGTTTAGGGGCTCAGGGTTTAGTGGCTTAGGGGTTTAGGGTTTAGGGCTTTGGGGTTTAGGGATTAGGGGTTAGTGGCTTTGTGGTTTTTTAGGGGTTTAGGGTTTAGGGGTTTAGGGCTTAGGGGTTCAGGGTTTAGTGGCTTAGGGGTTTAGGGTTTAGGGGTTTAGGGTTTTGGGGTTCAGGGTTTAGGGGTTTAGGGTTTAGGGCTTCAGGGTTTAGCGGTTCAGGCTTTGGGGTTTAGTGGTTTAGGGCTTAGGGGTTTAGGGTGTAAGGGCTTTGGGTTTAGGGTTTAGGATTTATGATTTAGGGTTTAGGTTTTTTTTCCAGTGTTTAAGTTGCAGCTGAAGAGCGGGAACAGGGCCGGAGTGTTTCGACTTATTCTGGCTAGGAGTCGTATTCCTATGATTGTTGTTAGTGCTACTGATGTTATTGCTGTTCTTATATGACCCTGACCTACAACTGCTAGAACCCTTAACCTTGACGACCCAGACCCCATTACCCTTCCATTCCATGTACGCATAGAGCCCCAAGGCTCGGAAAAGTGCTCCCAATATTGCTGTTACAGTGCCAAAGTACGTACTACAAGAGAACAAGGACCCTTGGGTTCAGAGACCCTAAACCCTAAACGGGTTTAGGGTCACTACACAGGTTGTAAGCTGAACCCGAACCCTAACCCCCCGAGCTCTTAAGTTGTGGTGCATTCAGAGACTGCAAAAGCCTTACCTAGACTCTTACATGCAATATAGGGGCCTAAATAATTACCAAAACTATTTTGGGGCTCTTTGTTAAAGTTGTAGTATAGTACACCCCAAAACCGCCCAAAACCCTATTCTAATCATTAATGACCCTAATATTACCTTCTTTTGGATGACCTATTTTATGGTTAGGATCCAATAATAAGAAGCTAAAGAAGCCAAAAAACGGTACTACATCTAAGGGTCTAGGTAACAGGAGAATCCTGAAGACAAGGAGCCCCGATGAAGGGACTTCTTACTTCAAGATAAGTTTAGGGTTTAGGGTCTAGGCTTTAGTGTTTAGGGGTTTAGGGTGTAGGGGTTTAGGGTTTATGCGTTTGTTTTTTTTGTTTTTTATAGGGTTTAACTCATAAATCGCCGGATACCATGAAGGCCTACTATGGGCTCTTATGGTTCTGAGTTTAGGCACAAATGCTAAACTGTACGTCCTCCTCTTGCCGAGATGGCATATAGAACACATGATGGAACCCGCTTAAGTCGAAGCCCTTTCAGACAGACCCCTTGTGGTGTACTTGGCGTCCTTCTGGGACCCTAAACCCTAAACGCTCCCGTGCCAGGTCCGGCGGGCGAGGTTGGACTGCCTAACGACCCGTTATTAATGGGGGAATGGGCCTGTTTGTTGACTCCTTGTAGGGCCTGGTACAGGGCCCTGTCAGGATTCTATGTCAGGCTTGATCAGTTTGTTGATGGGGGTTGCTACCAATAGTACCCCTAGGACAGACGACAGGCGGCACCAGCTTCGATATCAGTACTCCAGAAATGACCCCCAACAGTTTGGCAAAGGCTGAAAGTCCCTGCAAGACCCCAAGGTTTTGCAGCATGTCAAAAGCATGCAGAGCCGGTCAAACACTAAACCCCAAATCCTAAACCCCAAACCCTAAACCCGTACTGTGGAGCGTCGCGACCTGACCGGTGATGTGCTACCTATGTAAAGTGGTTTAAAGCCTATAGCACGACGACGAATGACGCGGTGTCGTTCAAGAAGCTGCTATACTGATAGGGTATGTATGGCTTTGTGTTCTCCTTAGTTGCCTGAGTCAGAACACAGGGTTTCGTGTGAGGCATCATAGGTTCAAGAACCACAGGGACACGAAACCCTAAACCCTAAACCCCGAACAGGTCGGAATAACAGAGACGATGACGACGACCTCGATGCTGAGCCGATCCAGTTTCCCAGATGCTTAGGGTTTAGGGTGTAGGGTTCAGGGCTTAGCAGCTTAGCAGAAGGTAAGTTCGATCTTTTGAGAACCGGAAACTCGTGGCCACACAGCATCTCGTTCTTTCTCGAGCCCTAACCGCCCAAGAACCTAAACCTTGCTGCACCATGCATACCCATAGGCCACATAGTAGTTCCTTGTTGTGGCTTCCTTTTCGGATCCTAGTACCTATTAGGTAACCCCAAAAAAGAACTACTATGAGACCTATGGGTATCTGATGCACAGAAACTTGAGGCCTGTGTACGTATGGGTAGTGTGGCAGAAGTGCGGCAGACAAAGAGACCAGCCAGCGCACCAGCATCCAAGTTCCTACATGTTATCTTCTCGTTTTTCCTTTGCTGTCAGAAGCCTCATGGAAACTACGGATATACATAGCTCAAATTATCAAAACTGCCCCTCCGGATCTCACATCGTGTGTCTCGCCCCGCAATTCCCGAAACGGTTCCTGGCACCCTTCCATTCAACTTGATTTCCGTTGCAGAAGGCATGTCGCAAACCCCCAAAACCTAAAAGCCCCAAACCCCAAAACCAATGTAGAAGCCTAGATAGTTACTTGTATTAGTCCTTAGGGTTCCCGTATAATTATAGTATAATGGGCCCCAAAACCCTATTCTAATTATTAAACCCCAAAACCTAAACTATAACCGTAGCCTTTCGCGGTCCAAGCTTGGCAGCTAATCGGATAAACCCTGCTGGGTTCTAGATATTTCCCAGACTGGGGGACCTAAATCCACAATCGTAGTAACATAGGGGTCTGAACAGTTAGAGTAGGGTTTGGAGTATACTATAATAATAAGGAACCCCCAAAACAGTAAAGGTAATTATTTACGCCCCTATAGTATATACGGGCCCTCTGGCTTTGTGGGTTCCGGTCCCGTGCGTCTTGATCATCAACCTCATGTTGTCTGAGCTTAACGTCCAAGCAAGGCCCGGTATGAGAATCATTACCCTAGGCCCTACCTCTAGTCTCCATTGTAGTTGATTTTTGGTTAACCAAATTGCCAAACGAACTTATATTATGGGATCCTAACCATAAAACTGGTTAACAAAAAAGGAATTACAATGGAGGCTACAGGTAATCCCCTAAACCCTAAAACCCAGTCAGAGGTCGGGCGCTGTCTAAACCCTAAAACCTTAAAACCCTAAAGCCTTAAACCCTAAACGTTAAACCCTAAGACCTAAAAACAAAAAAAAACTAACAGCCTAAAGCCCTAAACCGGAGCCCTTGCCATGCTAACCCAGGGATTCCATCCCTACTACATGATACTACCCGTCTGGAGTTAGGTCCCAGAAGACCATCCTTACCGTGGCTTTGGGGACCTGATTCCATAGTTTTGGTTGTATAGTAGACGTATGCATGCATGTATGTATATATGTTCACAAATCAAGAAATGAGGATGAATAGATAGATACATACATAGGAAAACATTGATAAATATATGTGTATACACATATATGCATATCTATATATATATATACAGAAATAAGTATATATATATATATATATATATATGTCAGTATTTACATACAGATATATTCATATACAAAGGTATATATGAGCCCTTTTGCTCAGGCTGGAGGTCTCTGACAATTCGTGGGCGAAGATTCAACAGAAACGTCGTGAGGAGGCTGTCAAAGTAGTAGTTTAGGGAGCTTAGGGTTTAGGGTTTTAGGGTTCTAGGGTTTAGGGTCTGGTCTACATTGGGGGTTGAAGGTTTGGTTTAGCGTTCCAGAATTTAGTGTTTGGGGTTTACGGTTTTTGCAGGCTAGTGCCGTTTACTGAGCCCGAAAGCACCCTTGTTCTTCTAACAAAATGCCTGCCGTCCGCATGCCGATTTGCTTACCTAATAAGTGGGTCCGAAGTAGCTACGTGGCATAAAGTATGGGGGGGGGGTTTTGGTTTAGGGTTTAGGGGTTTATAGTGTATAGGGTTTCTATACATGAATGATATCATGAGGCTTGCATGGGCAATACCCCCACATAAGTACTTCAGAGCCGTAGGGAAATTACAGCCTGCATGACTAAACCCTAAGGCCCTAAACCCTAAACCCTAAAGCCCTAAACCCTAAAGCCCTAAGCCTTAAACTTAAAGCCCTAAACCTAAACCCTAAACCCCCCAAAACCCTAAACCCCTAAACCCTAAAGCCGTGTGGTGATAGGGAGATTTTAGTGTTTGGCCCGAAGGGCTGTGGCTGAGCTCTGCTGTGGAGTGAAAGTCCCACAACACTTAAAACCCTAAAGCCCTAAACCCCTAAACCCTAAAGCCGTGTGGTGATAGGGAGATTTTAGTGTTTGGCCCGAAGGGCTGTGGCTGAGCTCTGCTGTGGAGTGAAAGTCCCATAACACTTAAAACCCTAAAGCCCTAAACCC